TGACTTGTGCCACTTATGTTTTCTCTTACATTTTCTTACAAATAAGCCACTATAGTAAAGATTTGACTACTGAAGAAGTGTCTGTACCATTGAAAAGAGATCCATTTATTGCAGAAAAGACCAAGCAAAACAGCATGAAGTGCTATTGATTTTTTCTGCCTTCTTGTTATTCAAGAGCAGTTAGCCAGCAATATATTGGAGGCAAAACCATAAATATCCTCTTTTATTTTGATTGCTACTGGTATTCTTCCTCATACTTGGGACAGCTCTCAAAAAGCCCAAATAATTTTGAAGGAAACAAATCACAAGAGACGGGTCAGCTAATGGAAACCTGGGGAGAAGTGTCAGCAGCTGCATTACAGATTTCATGGGACACATCCAAACTATCCCAGTGGTCCCAGCTGAGCACCAGTTGAATGGTGGGAGATAAAACCAGCCCTAAAAGAGACCCATGGCACAGGGTCCTCTGTGCAGGAGAGCAACCACTCAACAGCAACAACTGCTCAACACCAACTCCTGGGATCAGTGTGAAAGGATATCCTATAGTCAAACAGCATAAATTTCCAGAGATATTTTTACTTACCAGTTTTACTTATAAACAATTTCTTTTCCAAAGGAAATCATTGCAGATTATCTTGGGAAAAGCTGCCTACGCTGCCAAGATATTTTGTTTGCTGTCTGTCTCATGTTCTTTAGAAACCCACACACCATATTCTCCTAAAAGGCCTCCATTTCTTTCTGTTTACCACACTGGAAATTCCTCATTTTAAACTGACTAACATTCAGAAAACAGCCGCACTACAAAGCTTAGCACAGCAAATCAGCCTGAAGTAGGTGTCTCACTGGACCAGGAGCAGTATGGAGTCTTAATTTTTAAACTGTTTCCACAGTCATAAATTAAATTGAAAAGATCTGGAAGATATATTCACAAATTATTCACATAATTTAAATCAGCTCCTTTGCAGTGCTGAGATTTAGGAATGCTTGTGGAGTTTTGTTTTGTTGTTTTCATTTTAATTTATTGCTTCCTGCACGGTCACTCCCAGAAAGAAAAAAATAAGCCAGCTGTATACCATTGTACTTCAGAGAAAGGAAAAGAAGCTTCTGGGTTCACCACCAACATTCACCTCAGGTAATAAGCACTGAATTATGTGCCTCAGACCTCCAGCTCTGAACTGTTCACAAAAAGCCACTTGCTTTTCAGTGACAAGACAAAAGCCCTCCTAAAACCTTAATGAAGGTCATCAAATCAAGATGGAAAAATTCATCAGGAACACAAATAGCTTTGCAGGAAATATTATGGTAATTGGGAAAACATTTAGTAACTCCTAGAGTTACTGCTATCTTGCCCTGACATGAGGCTGAAGCTGTTGCAGTTTGAGATCGCTTCTGTTCATACAACACAGGCCACAGCCAAATGATTCTTTCCATTTTGGAGAACTCCAAGAACTTCCTCATCAGAGGCCTCTTGGGCACCAGGAGTGTTAGCTCTTTAGTGAGGTACTTTTTAACAAGTGGTGTAGCTGAAAAGGAAAGGCTGGCTCCAGCCAGGAACGGTTAAAGGGAAGTAGTCATATATCAGTCCTCTCCAGAAAAGTTCTATAAGGAATAGTTCTATAAGCAATTTTAACCTAAATATTACATGTCCCTTACCTAGGTTTGGATCAAAACCCAAACCACAGGCCTCTGCTTTTGAGGTATTTTTGGCTCTACAATTATCTCCTTTACGTTCCTCCACGACGCCTGAAATCCTGCTGAAGGTCACATCCAAGGAAAGACCTACCACTACTTTCTCCAGGCTGGAACTTTATTTATTTTGTATAGTCAGGAGATCAAAGCAAGTTACACATGTGGTTTGTGGATTCCTCTGAGCACAGAAAAATAAACCCAAGTACCCTCAAACAACATATGGAAAAGAAATTAAAGAGGATATGATGATATGATTTTAGCTTGAATGCATCTTAAGACAGCCAGAGAAACCCATGGGAGCATATACATATACATATACATATACATATTCCTACACATATACATATACATATTCCTACCCCATTATAAACCCAAATCTTAAAAAAACCCTACTTTTAACTATCACATTACGGTTTTGATATCTAGAAGAACCCCAAAATTAATACTTCTAATCCTGATCTTTTAATCAACCAGAGATATGCAGACAAAAAAATCTACCACCCAGTAGTCCTTAGCTATTTTGGATTGACCTACTACCATTTCCTCTTTAGAATTCCTTATTAAGGTACCAAAAACCTTCACTGATACAGAAAATGTTCTACCCTTTTTGAAGCTGACACCTGAAAAGCTGTTTGCTCTTGTGAGTCTCAAAAAAGCGCCAAGAACACACCAAAAAAAGCCCACAAAAAGAGAAAACTAAACAAAACCCAAAATTGCAAACACACACTAAAAGAAACAAAAAACAAACAAAACAAAACAAACCCACCAACAAAGAAACCATAAACAAACAAAAACACCCAAAAGAAATCGAAAAAAAAATGCTTTGTTCTCAAGCCCACTAACACCTAATGCAGGGCTCAGTACATTACATTACACAGCCACAAACTAAAACCAAAAACTACCTTTTATTGGTAAGACAAAATTAATTCTTACACTTGCTACTCATTATCTACTGGAAGATCTTCTTCTGTAGCAATTGCTCCTGAACAAAAAAAAAAAAGTTTCCAGAATATTGAAGATACACTTGTGCAATCTGTGTAACAGGTCTTTGCCCAAAATCCCTTTTCTCTGGAACAGGAGTAGGCTCAGGAACATTCAGGGACCAAAAACAGATTAGATGTCTAAATAGTTTCTTTTAACTAACATAATTTTTTAATATATAGCCTGAATAAATGTCTCCATCTCTATCATACCATCAAAGAAAATCAAAAATGAAAAATGTGTCTTGCTGCCAAGCCATGTTATCATTTTAAGATTAATAGTTTTCTTTAATATGATAAATATTTCAGAGCACAAAACTTGCATAATGACCAGGTCTCTAAATACTGAGGTTTTTTTAATCTACTGAATGTCAAACAGGGATAATTACCATGTGGTACAAAGTTCTGCTAAGAGTTCTTGAGAAAGGAGAGACTAAATTTGCTTCCAAGGTCTATTCAGCCCTATAACTGTTTCTCTGTGCAGAAGTTCTTCCTCTTGTTAAAACTGCTAGCAAGGTTGTGGTCATACACAAATTAATAACTCAGTGTTGAGCTAATATATTGAGATAACGCAAGAGAAAATACAATTATACCTAGAGGCTGAAGTTATGCTTATTATTTCAGCTACCAATGCTTTCCATTTTCCTTTTTTTTAATTACAAATAATATATTTTGGAAAGTTTATGAAGTAAAAAGTTAAGGAAGAGCTGGGAAGTTTTATTTTAAAAACACTCCTGTACATCAACCAGCATTTCACATATTTTTGTCCCTATCTGTGCCAAGGGCCTCTTATTAAATAAATTTGTATCAACTCCCTTTATCTGATACAGAGTTTTCATTAAGCAAATGCTTCCCATTTGGATGTTTCTTTCTTTGTCTTGCATTTTTTCTAGCTATGTACTAGCAACTTCTAAAGGAACTGCAGAAAGAAAACCAAATAAAAATCTGGCTTAGCATGATGTCCTTGATTAGGACCTGCAAAAAGAGGAAATTAGGGATGACAGAGACAGCTTGCTACTCTATATTCAATTAAAACTGGCCTCTTTGTGGCTATGGTTCATGCAGAACGTGCACTTATCTAATACAGCCCAATTCTGGCAGCAGAACAATTAGAATGCAAAGCGTAACTTCAAATAGTCTCTGGCAACATTATTTTTCTTTTCCTTGTGACATCTTCAGCAGACTTTAAACAAAAGTCTTGAGATCATGTACTGTGCTGAAAACCAAAACTCATACTCTGAACCCAAATGCAGCTTTTAATATACTTAATGATGTGAAAATTGGATACAATGAAATTGCAGAAAGCAATTGGAGAAGAGCTTTGGTGCCTACACAAAACTCAAAGAAAAACAAATGTTGTATTTAAGCATGAAATTCTAAAATTGGCCTCTGTTCTGTGGTGAGCTCAAGCAGGATTCTTATGTCAATTATGTACTCAAGGTGGGCAAAGCTCAAGCACACCACCAACAATATTAAATCTTGCATGTCTCCCTTTTTCTGAATGACTCACTTCTAGCCAAGACTGTAAGAATCTGGCAAGATTTTCCTACCTAACAATAATCATCACCCTTTCACCCCAGCTGGCCTGCAGGGCTTCCTGGAGAGGTAGCCACACTGCAGAGTATAGCCCAAAGTCAAGTCACATGCAGATTAAAATACCTTTCTTCCTACACATTTCCACCCTGGAGCTAATTTTTCCTCCAGAAACACATTCTTAAGAAACTTTCTATTTCACTGATGATAGCTCAGGTACTTCAGTGGCAGCCTGAATGGCAGAGGGAAGGAAACCCAATATCCAAACAACCTCCATCTCCGGAAGCCTGAGAATTGCCTCTGCTGAGGGCTAGGTGTACTGGAAAATATCACCGTGGTTTGGCTTTATTACATTCTTTCCTGCTGTTGGCCACTGTTAGAGACAGCCCACTGCCCTGGACTGATGATTGATTTTGAGGCATTCTTAATTGCATGTGCTGAGCTCCTACACTCCGGTCTAACCATCTACTTCAAGGGGGAAAGATTTAAATCCCCTTGTCTTTGCCTTTTGTTATAATCAATATAATTTCATCCATGCATTCTTAACTTGTAGAATTACCAGAATTCCCAGCAGTTCTACTCTTCCTCCCAAATTCTGTTTATGTTAAATTCATTATCTCTCAATGTAATTTTCAATTTAAAAAAAAGAAAAAATATACTTAAAAGAGAACATCAAGTCAGGCTGTTGGGTGCTATCCAGTGATGAGAACTGTGAAGATTTTTGGTCCTCTCAAACTCAGCCAATTAACAAGTTACAGTGACAAGCCAACCAAGTACTTCTAGAAATTATCTATTTACCCTTTAGTTTGAGGTCCACTTTGTGTCGCAGCCAGGGATAAACACCATAGTTGGACATATCTTCAGGAATGGGGTTATTATCTATCCAGCCATCACATGCAAATCGATAGAAGTTCTCACATGGATCTACAGACTGATTTATCTTGCTCAGGATGCTAGCAGCTGTAAAAAAGACACCAAATAGATTTTGTGGAACACTTTTTCATAAATAGAGAATTAGACAGGGATACAGCCCAGAAATTATGATTAATGAGAAACAAACAAACAAACAAAAAAGACAAATATCTGCAATGAATCTTCTTGAGAGACATACAGCAACAATGGCTGAACTTAGCACTACATGAACATGAGCTGCTGGAGCCAGGCACTTGAAGACAGGCTCTCCATTGTTGTCATGATAGAATTAATTGCCTGAGGAATTTAGTAGTGATACATATTAAGCAGATTGTGATTAGCATTTCAGTAACTATGCACTGTTTACCTCTAGTTGAATACTGCACAAGAAAACAAATCAAATTCTGATCTACCATTCATTGGGAAAGATTTTCAGCATTTTCAGCTCCATTTTGTGACTGCTTCCTTACCAGTTACTATTTTCAGTGAAAGAGAGGTGGTAAGAGAGAGATCAGTCTGACAAGTCAAGACTCAGTAGCTTTTCAATACATAATCATAAAACCATAAAATAGTTTGGCTCGGAAGGAACCCTTAAAGGTCACCTAGTCCAACCTTCTAAAAAAAGTAGGGACATCGTCAACTAAACCAAGTTGCTCAGTCCCATCCAACCTGACCTTGAACACCTCCAGAATGGGGCATTCACAACTTCTATGAGTGATTTGTGCCAGTGTTTCACCGCCCTCACCATAAAAATTTTCTTCCATATAACTAGTCTGAATCTACCCTTTTTTATATAAAATCATATAAAATGTGTGCCAGATCTGGTACAAAAGCATCTCTCTGCTTAACAATACACTTGCTAGTTTTCTGATAACTGGAAAGGAAGCAACAAAATCTTCCTGAAGGTCTAGTCACTCAAAGTCACTCAACATTTTTTTTCCTATTAAAAAAAAGAAAATGACCCCTCTGGGAAACTTTGAGTCAACCTAGTTAGACTAGTAGAATTAGACCAAATTAAAATGCAAATTTTAATTGTACAAAATAAACAAAACAGAAGCAACTTGAGGACTGACTTTCTAAAAAGTTTGGGATTGTCATTCTTTCTCCCTCATTAACTGAGCTTTCTGAGTAAAATGTATAATGGGACAAAAATTAAATGGTACAAATATCTCATTAACATACTATAATCATGATATAATTGAGAAGATAAAATTGCTGCTTACCAGCTTCAATGCATTCTGCAGTCAAACAGTACTGTTGCTTCGGATGAAACTTTATAAGACCTTGGCTAACTGCAAAATGGAAAACCATAATGAGATCATTTGCAATGAATTTTGACAGCTGCAGCCAAATGTTGTGTACTCAATCATTCCAATATCAGTGCAGCCTCTGGTCCCAGTGCCTCTCTGACTGCACTGATTTAGAGCACTTAGAATGTACATTAAGTAAATATTTAGAATATATATTATGTAAATACTGCAGTTTGTACAAATAACTGCCCCTCCTAGTGCTGCTTTCTCCTTGCCCCTCTTTGCTCACAGGCAGCACAGAGCAAGGGCTGTCTGTGCACAGTGCCTGGAGCAGCATCACTTCAGCCCTACTCCCCGACAGTGAGCACCACCACATACTAACAATTCACATTGTTATCCTACTCCAGAGCTTGGAAATACAGGAGAACAGGATGGCTAGGCTCAGAAATTACCTTAAAGATCCTCTAATTCCAATGCTCTGCCATGGGCAGAGACCTTGCACAGGACCAGGCTGCACCTTCCATGGTTGGAAATGCAACATGGGGCAGCCTCCCCACCCTCTGCAGGGCTTCCAGAGCTCCCTGGGCTGTGCTGCCCACACTGCCCTGCAGCAGCACTGCCCTGCCCAGCACACCCAGCACCTACAGGACCCTCCCAGGGTCTCCTCATTCCAGCCTGGAACAGAGCAGACTGCAATGGGCACAAGGACAGCTGCGCTTTATAAGGCACAACCCAGGTTCTGTCTGAATTGTCTTGTAAGTTTTGTAATTGCATTTGCTTCCCAAAGCCTTGCTGAGAAGAGCTATGAAATTGTCAGTTCATTTTGCTCATCTTTTAAAAACATGTATTACAACTGCCACTGAAATTTAAGCACAGGAATTGCTAATTTCAGACACTGCTCTCAGGCAGCAAATATGCAGATAATTAATACTTGCATTTAGGAAGGGAGAATCCCAAGGGATAGGTGAAATAGCTCTCACTAGATGTGCTCAGTAGGCATAAAGAAATGTCTCATTATATCCATTATCTTAATAACAGTCCATGGCAAAAACAAAAAAAGCAAATAACACTGAACGAAAAAACACAACAATGGAATATATTATGGTACCATAGCTTTAACAATGCTAATAGTTCTAAAGCAATTTCTGCTGTAATTATATGTTGTTTCAAAGTGATAGAAAAATTTGAAATTTCATTTCAGCCCAGGAAAATTTTTTGCAAAACATCCTAAAGCTAGAATTGAATAAAAAGCTCTTTCCTCTCTTCCAGTCTCACAGTTTTAATGACAATTAATAGCAGAAATGGCTGGATTTCAATCCAAGTTTCTCAAAAAATGGGAATGTAAAACTATTTTTGGACAGCTTTTCCGAAGCTTTCATTGGTTTAGTGAAACACAACACCTCAAACACCTCTGTCAATTAGCCAAGAAATACACAAGATTTTGAGGCATGCAAAGGTTGTAATTGGAATATTGAAAACCAGGAGAAAATAGAGAAGTGGAGATCTCCAGAATATGATTTTGAGCCACTACAAAGATGAACTACAAATAATAGATACTGTCCCTTTTAATTAAGTGTTGCACTCCTCCCAGCTCACCTCTTTCCCTGATTAGAATTTAGTCCTTTAGAATCCATCCAGGTCTTGAATGCTTGCTAGACTTTTTTCACAACAAAGCAGAGAAAGGAGGGAAAAGCCCAGATATAATTTCATGCTTAATCTGAGGCAGCCCTTGTGCTTTTGATACTTCTAAACAAACACAAAATATCATTTCAATGGGACACCTACAATTTTATAATTAGAATAAATTTTTGGTAGTAACATTTCCATTTTAAATAACAGCTAATTTTGACAGAAAAAACTTTGCACAGTTTTTTTCTCTTGCCTTTTTTATTGTTAAGATAACTAATCACAGCATTATTACTTAGAGTCATGGTTATAACCCTCAGCATCCTAGCTTCCTCCTTGATAAGCCTGTTTCCAGATTGTTAAGCAAATGCACTCCACCACCGAGTTTAAAAAAATAAATCTATAAGGGAAAAGGAAAACAATACAAATGTACAGATGGAAATAATGTGAATATTCCACCAAGTCTGTAGAAGAGGCTCCCAAATTGAGATTCAAAGCTGCCTGACTTCCCACCCAAGGGCACTGGAGAGCAATGTGCTTCCTCCAAGGAGGAGGTGGCTCCTGTCCTGTCACAGCCCCACTCCCACCAGAGTGCCCAGGCAGGACCCCAGCAATGCTCCCCACTGGAGTCACAGAGAGATCACAGCCAGCACGAGCAAGGAACAGTAAACAACAATGCCTGATTCTCCCAGAGCCTCCTTAGACTTGTAGGAACTATGAGAAGAAGAGAGCAGGAGAAAGCTACATTTCACTCCTCAGGCTGGAAAATCAATTTCAGGTGTATCAGAAACAATAAGTTTTGCAGACTAAATGAAAATTGAAGAAAAAAGAACATCTTGAGGTGCCTGAAGTGTTTAATATGGACAGAAAGAATGATGTCCATTTCTACAGTTAAATAAAACTTAAAAAAAAATAGCTCAAACTTACAAACAAAACCATGTCACAATGAAGTGTGGAAACATCTAATTGAAAAAATGTTAAACCACAACAATTTAACTTTTTTTTTTCCTTGGTTTTTTAGGTTGAAAATTTCAGACCATTTCCAAAGAAATCCTAAAAGCATTTTGGCTGTCCCAAGGCCAGCATTTTTATTTTCTTAGCAGTTATGCCAATGAAAATTTTGATATTGAATTGCTGCCTACAGAACATGCCACAGGCACACTTGGAAAACTGTCTGCAAGAATTAATATATTTGCCTGAATTTTCACACCTGGCTATGGATAAAGCAGTTCTATCTCTGAGAAGCTGTGGTGGTAAATGTCAATTCCTTTTATTGCTCTAAGCAACAAACAAACAAATCTAGTGAAAGTAAAAAGAAATAAGGTCTCTCCATTATTACTCCCTGGTGTTTATACTGCATTTTTTAAGGGAAAAACTTTTTATTTTATCTAGAAATTAGAAGATTCAAACTCACTCATGGTTATAAAAAGTTTACTTGAATGGGATCACTGACACAGGAGTTATTTTCCTGCAAATGCGGCAGAAATTGCTCAAGAGCAAAAGAGCTCTAACCAAGAGTGAGCCTGTTGCTTTAAATATTCTATGGAAAACCTGACATTGTTTTGTGACTGCAAACAAAGCAGACCTTTCAAACAAGATCACAAAGGATTGGATGAAAGAAAAAGATACACTTAGAGGCAAGGCTTCCACCAATCTAGGGAAATCTGTGTTGGTCTAAAGAAACAAAAAGTTGGGCAGAATTGTTCCAAAAGAGGATCCAACTCTGCAAAGTTCTTACAGGATAAAACACAGTTTCCTCTTTGCTTGGAGTTTCTGGGCATATTTATACTTCTACACATAATTTCAAAAGTGTACACATATGCTTTCCAGTTAAGCTAACAAAACCAATCTACAGTTAATTCCAAATCTAGGAGATGAAAAACTATTTCCTTCTTAGTTGCATCTAGTTACAGCTTATATATCTAACAAAAATATTTCAATTTCATCTTAGATGCACTCTTTATGACTTTTGTAAAGGCAGCTTTGCAATTCATCATAGAAGAACAGAAAGATCTAAAAAATGTGCACACATATGCACTATCGAAGCTTTCTACAGGGGTTTTAGTCAAGCCCTAAATGAAAACCAAATGAAGGAAAACCCAAAAAGATTCCATAAAATGCACGCACTACAGAGATTCATTTTCAGGAAACAGAGAATATTATTCCACATCAGTCACAACCACTGAATGCATAATCAGCATAATCTCACCTGCTTCTCTCTGTCCTGTGGAAGAACCCAAGTCTGGTCAGAACACATTCAACTGAATATCCAAATTTAAATTCAGCATTCAAAATGCTACATGAGTTCCCATTGCATCCCCCAGCTCTAGCATTCCCACAACAAGAACTCCTTTACTGACACATAACCCCCCCAGGATAAATATAAAAAGAGGCGAAAGAAAAAGAGATTTTGATTTTCACCGAAAGACGTTGTGAGACACAAACACGGGCACCCAGCAGGCAGGCTGGAGGTTGTGCTCAGGTTAGTGTCAAGGCTTTCACTTACCCAAGAAAAGAGCGGTGCCAAGCACAACAGTGCCGCTCACAAAGACACCGAGGGCGATCCGAGTGGCTTTGCTGCCTGCTCCCCTGGCCTCGGGGACTGTCTCTCCTTCCATCAGGACAGCTTGGGAGGTGCTTGCTCTCTCAAAAGTCTGGTTTTCCCCTGCTGCTGTTGTGTCAGTGTTTCAACTGTTCACAAACTGTGCCCATGTGCTTTCCTCCTCCTCCTCTTCTTTCCTATTTAAAACTCCAGGTTTCTGTCATGAACCATTTCCTAGGCACTTCCTGCTCTCTCCCTCTCAAAGCAAAATCACATGGAAAACAGTGGCTGTCTCCTACGTTGTGCTCTGCCCAGGAGGAAGAAAGGCAAGCAGTGGCCACCGTTAGTGCAGCCCTTGCTGCCTGTAGGAGCCAAGTGCTCAGCAGTCCCCCTTATCAGGGGTTCCCAACACAAGCATTTCACAACGTCGCCGAACAGATGTTTTAACTATTCAAAGGGCTGCACACCCTCTCCAATCAAAGCAGGATTGCTGACAACTTCTACAAACACAAGTCTGATGGAAGGTTTTTTTTTCCTCCTTGTACTTATTTAAAAAGACTAATTATCTGCTGACTAAAGTTTTCTCCTTTCAAACCATTGCTGCTGCATCATTTGGCTTCAGAAGAGGTACCCACTCAGCAGACAAATCCCTTTTTAAAGCTTCCTAAGAACTCTTAGAATATCATGTAGCATTTTATTTCGGGAATTTGGTATGTGACACTGTGTGCCAAAAATCACAGTCAAGCAGCACAAAGCAATAATCAGCCAACCTACAGAAAAGTTGTGCTCTAAAAGCTAGATCTGTTTTTTTCTAGGCAAGATATTTCAGTCCTTGCTGGTACACAACACATTTTAAGAGATGATCCTATGCTTCCAAGTCAAGTAGTACTATAAGCTTAGTGGAAAAGTATCTATTTGGCACTTGAAGATGGTAGGGGATTAAAAAAAATATCTTTTTTATATAGATTTCTCAGTGGAATAAACTTGGAGTCCCCTCCATGTAGCAAACATTCTCCATTCATCAAGTAAAAAAATAGCCATTTCAGGGTGAATTCTCTGAGCTGAGTGTGACATTCAGCTCTCTGAGGAGCTCTTGCTTTCTCGAGAGCTGGACTCTCACACTAAACGTAAGGATGCAGGGAGAGGCAGCACCATGCTCATGTTCTCAACAGTTTATATTACTGAGTTACTTACTTTCATGGGGACTTAAAAGTCCTTATCTCAGCTCCCAACCATTCTGATAATAAGTTGCACAAGTAGAGAGAGAAGAAAGACATACATGTGTCACAAAATGTGTGTAATGGCAGTTGTGAGCCTGGAGACTGAAAACTTTTTCCATGTGAGTACCTGCACACAAGTTGTCCTGGATGTCACATCAACCTAAAGGGAAAGCCCACTCTACCTAGAAGACTTAGAGTCTGATGGTCCTGAAATCCAAACTTCTCATCCCCCTCTACTGCCTTTGGTGATGTCCTGCAAACAAAATGCCCCCAGTTCTTATTCCTGTCCCTCTTCACCAGCAAGTTCCAAGAGGGCATTCCCTGCTTGATGCAGAACAGGAAAAAAACATTTGCTCTTTTTCACCTGCCTATTGTCCCACATATAACCCATGATTTTGACATCTAACAGCTGAGGCAAGAGAGGGAAATGATGCTGCAGAACCAGGAGGACCACATGCCTCCCACTATAAAAATTCCCACTCGTGTGAATGACTCCATGGGTGTGAGCAGATATCTGGTTATAAGAAATACTCAGCACAAGACTGTTACCAGCACAGGTCTGGGAAGGTATTTGTGTGACATTGGTGCAGTTTAGTCCTCATATCAGAAACCACTATGATCTCAAAAGGGCTGCCAAAAGGGCAGGGTATTGACAGAAAATGCATGGACAAAATGTGATCTCAACACTTAATCCACATATCCGTTACCCAAATGCTGAGTAAACCTCAGAAGGAGCTTTTGACAAGTATTTGCTGTTGGTTACCTGATGGTTTTTCTAGTGTACCCCAACGTTACAAATACTGAGCTATTAGACCTATTCATACTGTCAGTTTTATGTCCCCCCAACCAACACTGAATTACCATATGCTTACTCAATTCTCCCAGAATTTCTACATTTCAGCTTCTTCCCCCTCGAGAAGTACTTGTATGTACTGAACATCATGCTCTACCAGTGTTTCACTAGCAGGATTTTGCTTTCATCAGTTGTTGCACATGGGTAAAGCCTTATAAAATCAGGGCCTTGTTACCCTTGTAAAATCATGGCTCAGGCCTGATAGGCTAAATAGAAGGGAATTATGGGAGAGTGACTCATTTGGAATAGGGATGGAGAGATGTGAGAGATGTGCTGCGTGACGGCTGCATTGTCCACATCATGCTGTTCAGTAGTTGGCTGACTTGGGCTTGTTGTACCTTACCTTTACTAGGTAAACTGATAAATGGCTAACTGCTTAAAAAGGCCTGTCTTTGCAATAAAGCAGATCTCCTTTGCACTGCCTGGGGACTCTGCATCACTCTACATCATCACAATTGAGCCCTTTCTAGGACAACATCAAGCCAGAAACTAAGAACAGCTTTCAACAGACAAAGCCGCAACCTCTTATTTCTTTTTGGAAATCTGTGTCAGGGAAAAAGGGAAAGATAGGGAAAGAGCAGGGAGAAGCTGAACAATTCATTCCCCTCTCCCAAACACAAGAAGGTGAGGACTATGGGAACATCAAGCTACCCCAACAAAATCCAGCAAGCTCCAACTACACAAGTCCTCTGGCAAGTCAGCTCCAAGCAGCACCTAATCCTTGTGGCAAGAAAAATCACAAATCAGCTGTCAGCAACAGAATGACTTTTCCATGTTTGGGTTTGTGGGCTTATTTACACTGTGGCATAGTATAAAGTGTCCTTTCCTCTGGCTGTAGAGCCTGCCTGTAGTCAATAAACCATCTTGGTTTCTCCAGCATGTACACAACTGTGAAATTGCAGCTAAACCATAAACAGCTGCAGGCAGCAGCTGCAGAGGTCCATTTCTGGCAGTGTTTGAAAAGGTGCACAGAGCACATGTGAGTAAGTTCCTGATGTTGATGATCTGTGACAGAAGCTTGTGGAATTTAATTCTCGTTTTTGATGAGCATTCTAGGATTTGGTTGCCTTGCTCTTCCGAAGTCCAGCAGCTCTTTGGCAGGTACAGGATACATGGCCACACCTCCTGCTGGAACTGCTAACAGCACTCCTGGCCATTGCAGCCCAATAAGGCACTTAATGAGGCTGTGCAAAGACTCTGCTAAACATTCATAAAACATTGAACAGACATAAGGGGCAAAAAAGCAATAACTAAATGCTACATGCTCCAAACCACGCTTCATTCACTCAGAATTCCATCTGAACCAAGATCCCACTCAAACAATGGGATCACTCTGGCATTTGTAACAAAGCCAGGACAATACATAAACAATTCTATCCATGGTCATATGTCACAGCTGGCCAACCCTCTGGAACGTGCTCTGGGCTGAACCACAGCAAGTGTCCCAGCCTCTAGAAAAGGTCTGTCTGTGAATATGTGTGTGTGTATGCACATGAATGTACACTCACAAACACACACGAGTGTGTGTTATCCTGCTCTTCCACAAGCAGACACAATTCTCACTTCCAGCCATTATGTCAGAGTCAGACAAGAGCATTATCAAAGCTAAAATCAATAGCACCATGTCAGCTTCACCTCATATAGCTTGGCCCAAGAAAGTGAGGTTTGATTATTCAATTGATCAACAAAATCACACATATTGCCCAGTTTTCACTGGAACAGTCCAAACCAGTTGCATAGGTGTTGGTGAATGTCTGGAACAGCAAAACAGCCTGAAGACAGCACATAGCCAGCCCAAGCTTGCTTAAAGAACCTGCGTGCAATGAGCCTGAGTACTGTAAAATATTTCATCTTTCTGGCATTCAGATAACTTCAAAACATATTAAAACAATCACTGATACTTTTTTATAAAAAGAGAAAAAAATCCCAGTTCAATTCTAGATGTAAACCCCAATGTAATACAGGTAAAACATCTTAGGTTACACCAACACGTGAGTTACAGACATTGCCTCAGAGGACACTGTCCTCATGTGCACATTAAACACTTGTCCTACCTGAGAGGTTCCTAAAGTACATTAGTGCAAGTACAGCTTATCAGAAGCAGTCCACAATCACAGCATCACAGCTTTGGTGATGTACTATTGAGCATTTTTAGCCCATGGTAAAAGGAAAACACAGTCACCATCACACTGATGGAAGCAGAGACACCAGATACAGCTTGAGTGGCTTCCTCATAGAAACAGAGCTATATGCTGGCTTCATTGAAAGAGATTAATTAGTGTGGGTCAGAGTAAAGGCTGTATTCCACCCCATTTCACCCTGGGCCTTGAACTGGTTTTTTGGACTATGCAGCTGTTGTAGCCAGAACTGGGCTTTATGTACACAAAGCGAACTCGAGAAAAGCCCAACATGTTGCATTTGGAGACAGCTTGACCAGTTGTCATCAGATCTCTGAATTTTATAAATTACACTCCCTTGGCTACAAAAGCTGCCAAATTTCTGTACAGCAGCCAACAGAAACCACACACTGGCACTAATTCATGTCCTTTATTCATGGGACAAATACAGCTGGAAATAAATGACTCTATTGTTTTCCACTGGTCCAGCCACATCACAGAAGGCCTCAGTGCATCTGTGAGAATGTGGATCATTAATTAGGAGTCAATACTGAGCCAACAGGATTTGCAGGGCTCCAAACACTGCTGGTGGCAAGCTTCTCCACTAACTATAACTGCAACTGTAAGGAGAACACCCTGCAAAGCAGAAAACTTTGCTCTCCAACATTTAATACCCAAATCAATTTTTTCTTTTTCTATTCCAAGTAGACTAAGCTATTCTCATTACTCCAAGAGCAATTTTTCCCTTCTGCAGGAAACATTGCATTCTCTGACCAAAAGGTGCTTATATCTAACCCAAACAGCAACTGACTATGAAACCAAACATCTGGGATGATTAAAGTTACACCACTTAAGTTTGCAAGCTTTTTATTTGCTTCTTTTGAAAAAGCACTTTAACGAAGCAATGCATATGTTCTCAAGCACAAGGAACTGCTTTAGGTCTTCCGGCAATTTTTCGTCAAGAAGCACATTAAATTCTGGCTAAACCAAACACTACTTCTCCTAAAGACCACATTCTCACTACAGCCAGAGAGTGTTTACACTCAGCCATCACATGGGCATCCTTCCCATCTGTCATCCTGCTGCAGAGATTAAACAAGGGTGCATGCTGACATGGGCTGTAGAATGGCAATTCAGTTGGGGATTAAGAAATACACAAAATACCCTGGCATAACTCAGAGCAAATTTTTGGTTTTTTTCATATAGTCTAACTATGTATATAGGCTGTAAAGACACTGAAAAAGACATTGCTGGGAAATATCATTTTTCCAGTGGCTACAGCTGTAGGTACAGGGAAATAGAACACAAATAAATATCTGTTGTTTCCTTGAAATATTGCATCATTCCACCAGGGCTTTACTCACTTATTTTGCTTTGTCCAGATGTTTGCTGGCAGCTGTCAAAGTCTCTTTTTATGAGTGGAAGCAAAAAGCTTGGTTACCAAGGAGTTTGTGTCCCATGGATGAATTTTCAGGCGTGCAATGAGACACACATTCACCAGCATTTTAAATTAAAAGAGGAGGAAAGCCACCAGCCATGTATGTGGCTGCTTTCAGCATCTGCCAAAGAGATCCCTCCACGGTGAGCTCCTGTCTCTCAGAGAAGCACGACTGCCCCTGCAGAAGCAATGGTTTCTGCCTGCTCTCCCACTTGGATCTCCAGCAGCACAGATCTGTCTTTGGCAGCACCAGAGCACAGAGCTGCAGCCAGGAGCAGAGCAATTGCTCCACAGAGGTGCCACTGAACAGGTAACAGGCACTCTGTCACTGCTATCTGCTCAGAGCCTGCTTGTGATAACTTTTGTAGGAAACAAAAGAAAGTGAAGCAAAAGCTCCTCCAAGTGCTTTAAGCCCAAGGCAGTAGAGCTCAGCAGTCCCATCAGGCACAAGCTCTGGTGAAAGCTTTTCTCTCTCACTCAGGGGCTGTTGGATCACATCCCTCTGTATAACAAATGCACCTGACCACGGGCTGGTAGCAGAAATAAGAGATCTTTTCATCCAGGCAAAGACTTGTCAGAATTAATGTCTTTGAACCCAAATCCCTTCTGTCAAATTTGACTGAAGCTGGCTGACAAGATCTAGCGTTACTTAGCAAGGCTGGGTGAGAGAAAGGGGATACAGAGACAGGAAAGCACAAGTGCATAACCTCTGTTTTCAGAAGAAATCAGCCTGGAGGAAAAAAAACCAAACCAAACCAAAACAAAAAAACACCAAGAAAACCAATAACAAAAAAACCCCACCCACAAACCTGAAAAACCAAATCCTGCTCTTCCAGGGCATTGCTACAACCAGCTCAGGGTCTTACTGAAGTTAGTTTTATTTCAAAGTATTTTATTCCACTGAGCTCTTTTCCTTCATTTCAAAATGAGATTAAAATTCACTTTGCACACAGCTGAAAGCCAGAAAAATCTCACATTAAATATGATGTCCTAAATAAAATGCCCCTTGACAATGTGAGATTTTGTGTGTGTATTAATTCAGTGGAGGTATTTCTAGACATTTCTCATCTTGTCCTCATCTTGGTGCAACTCCAGTAACTATGTATGTATCTAATAATGCTAAGCAGCAGCCCCTCAGCAGAGTTGAAATGTGTTTAGTCAGTGAGTTCTCTGGAAAGGGGAGACCAGAGTCGGATCAGGGTGAAACCACAGCATGAGGCCCCACAGGACAGGATCATTGAGACCAAACATTTGCTTTCCTGAAGCTGCAGATATCCTCAAAAATCAGTTAGGCACCAACTATAATTATCTTTACAAGTCAAATTGCTATGTCTCTGACAGCCCTCCCCTTAAGTTTCCAACATCTCTATTTCAAATAAAGCTTTGTTGTCTTTACTATTAACACAAAGTTTTAGAACAGAATAAGGATTTCTGTACTATTAAACATACCCAAACTACTTGTTAGCTCTACAGATCAAAAGTTGATCATTACATGGTATTTCTCCCCATAAATTTTCACTAACCTAAAAACAAGTAGCTGGATTAGGGAAACTGATGAAAGGGCCTCAGTATGGCTCTAACTAGCTACTCTTAGACATTTAAATAACCATGCAAAGGAATTAGCAATACTGTTAACAAAGTTAAAGACAAAAATAGTCATGACCAAGCTTGCTTAAAGGGAAGGAAAATTATGCTGATCAAAGCCAAATCCTTTTCTACAACTTGCAGAAAAAATCATGCTCTTCTGAAAGAGTTTCCTTAACTTCTTCAATATGCACTTCCCAAGAAAATGACAGAATCTTAGTCCACTAAAAGATGCTATAAATTCATAGGTTTCTAATAATTTAATGCTGTTTCTGTTGCAAGTTCTTTGAACTTGCTGCAAACACAATCAGCCTTTTCCTTGGTTGAACTGGTTGACTGAAATGGGACATTAATTATCCAACTTTAAAACAATCCTCAAGTAAAATTTCCATGATGATTGTGCTTTTAATAAAAAAGTGAAAGATGTGATAAGTGTTTTGCAATTTGGACTACCAACAGAATTCAGATTGGCCAGGGTATAATCGCCACATCTGCTTTACCTGAGCAAAAGTCTGCAGACTGACAGTAACTTTCTAAAAACAACCTAGGAGTATCATGGCTTTTGAAGCAGCAATTAATGAGAGAAAATAAGAACCCTGAGAGGTCCATCTCCCCAAAGCAGAGCAAAAGCACTCACAGTCAGACTACATCTGGACTAAGACACACAAAAGAATTCCCTACTGGCTTCCCAAACCTTAGCTTCTCACCTGGGTACAGCCTCCAGCATGTTCAGGGCAGCTCGGGACAGAAGAACACTGGGAAGACCTTGATGAGAATTCCCATGTGCCATCAGAGAGATCAGGATCCCAGGCTGTGCTGTAGCCAGCCAGAATGCAGTCCCATAGCCCAGGATACCAACTGTGTTAAGTGAAAGCCTTCCATTTTCTCACAGGACTTTCTTACACTTCCTAGAGGCTCAGACCTGCTCCTCTCACACAGGCCTTTTCTAACTTTCTCTGGTTCCAAGTCTTTCCCTGCAAAAGCAGTCTGAAAAATGCAGTGCCATGTTTCTGCTTTTTAGCAAGGTGCTGACTGTTGCTGAAATTAATTCATTCCCTTTGCTGTCACTACTCCCACTGTTCAGAGCACCAGAACACATTACCGGGAATAATGCAAATGCAGCTCACTTCACTCTGAGTCAATCAGATAAACTCACACTCCTGTCTAGGCTTTCACAGTGTGATGCCATGACCACATTTTCTTGGGACCTTGAAGCCTTTGCCTTTGGAAAACACACTCTCAAGAGGTATGGAATGCTTTCAACCTCATTTGATAAAAACATTTATGGCTTGCTGCTTTTATTTTAACTACATTTTTTTCTTCCCTATATCTGGGCATAAAAGCAACTATAAAACATAATTTTAAGCTAAATAAAATACTGAATATGAAACTCATCCATTGTTGCATGAATCGGGATGCACTATAAAATGTTTAAAGCTATTCAAATGTATTTTGATCAGCATGATATAAAACGCATTTTAGTGTGTTTGAAGTTCAGATATATTTGAGTATCATTTGTTCACAATTAAATGCTTAAAAATGGCCACATTTCTGTTCACTGGAAAAACTATTTACTCACTGCCACTAGACAGCCAAGCAGGTGCTGGAAAGCCAGGTCACAAGCATGAATCCAGACATGATCCAGACTTAGACCACATTGTTCTGCTCTGCCAAATAATGCATGCTCAGTACAGAAAAACACTTCTACTGGATGAAGGAACTCACCGTGGCCCACAAGGTACCCTGCCACTGTAACTCAGTGAGCAGGGTTTTGCCTTTGTGATAGCATGTAACAGCACTCCTTGTGCAAGGGTATCTAAAACCACATTGCTAAATTTTGCTTGCAGTAAAAATGAAATTAAATAATGGGCCTCACATTTCTTTTTTTTTTTAAAGATCAGGCCAAAGAAGGTCAAGAGCAAGGAAGCCCACACTGCACAAAATGGGTGCTGTCCCCATATTCTTTAAAAAAAATTCCTTATGAGTAGTATTATCATATTTTTAATCTAATTCTCAGAAGAAAAGAAAAAAAGAAAACAGTCTGTGTAACCAAAATCAACCAGGACAGCCAAATTACTGACATAAAATTTTATTTAAAAATTTAGAAGGTATGAATGGCAACAAGAAACCAAAAAACAACACATCCCCCTACAAAGCTACACCAACACCAGAGTACTAACACAGATAAAGCTTTTAATTCCCACTAGATCAAAGTTACTAGCTCACCTTTTACATGCTGTCTACAGTTCAAATGATTTGAAACTTCTGGATGACTGAAATCAAAATACCATAGAATATCTTTAGTTGAAAGGGACACGTAAGTAATTCAGTAGATGGAGTCAGAGAAATGAAAAAAACAAGAGGTAGCCCCCTTAACAACTCCTCTCCCTATTTCTAAAGCAAGTACAAACCATGGTGCTCTGCAGCCTTTACTTCAAGCATTTTTCCCTACACCTGGTGTGGCTTGCTTCTCAACCCCACCACCAGTTCCCATTCCTGCTCACCACTGAGGTCTGCCAGCACATGAGGAGCCAGACAGGTCTACGTGAAGCACTGACAGCTGTTTTGTCCATTCATTTCAGCAGTGTAGCTCAGCAACATCAGTTTCCCATTTACCTTTAATATCTGCTTGCTTGTTTTTAGCCCACTTGGTTTGTCACATGGCCATGGGACAGCTCCCTGAAACTCTCATGGCAGAGGGGACAACACAGGGTGAAGTCAAAGCAATGAGAGGGCAGAGATAGCTGGGACTATTCACATGGCACAGTTAGAGGAAAAAATTACTCCACAGCAACCCTCTCCCATAAGCTGCAGCACTGGGGGGACTGGGTTAAACAGACCTTAGAAAACACTCCAGTCAAGAAAGTCTGAAATACTTGTCTTTGAGAAATTACAGCTAATTAAATTTCCATACATCTCATAATCATTTGCAGCACTTCTGGAAACAGAAGTTTAGAGGGACAGGGGACAAGAGGGACTCTATCCTCCAGTTTCTGCAAACCTAAGGGTTAGGTATGTATTGGGAACAAGCCCTTAAAATAGTTATAGCACAGCCCCTAGGCTGAAAACACACTGCAATAGAAAGGTTTGGCAGTAGTTTGGCTCTTTAGATTTAGCTCAAGAGAACAACCTTTCATTGTTCCAGAAGTTCCAAAAGTTGTTAGTATTTTCATGCCTCCAGGCTAAGCAGTCAGCAACTTGAAAATAGTTTGGACTCCTCAGTTTTAATGAGGCTGTCTCTTGCCCTACTTACCCAGAAGAGCACTAAATTCCTCTCTTGTTTTCCCAGTCACACCTAATGTATCACCTGTTTTTTTAAAGGTTGAAGGCATTCCAGGGAGACCTAAGAAAAATATCCATCCTGCAGGCCTCCAAGAGAGGTGGTGAATGCCTCAAGCCTGTCAGCATTTAAGAAGCATTTGGGTAATGCCCTTTAACAGCATGCTCTAATTTTTGGTCACTCTGAAGTGGTCAGGAAGTTGGACTAGATACTTCTTTTTGCTCTACATGTTCCTTTCAGCTGCGCTTCTGTTCCACTCATCATTTTTACCAGTTACCAACTTAGTCCAATATGTTGCCAGTTAAAAATGAAGGGAAGTGAGCAACAAAGATTAAACACCTCTCACATCTCATCTTTTTTCTTGGGCTCAATTTCACTCCTGCCCCTTCCTTGCCCCACTTCCCTGAGAGGTGCAAGGCACCAAGCTGGGCTCAGTCACCACCAACTCAACCATCTTCCACACACTGCTCCCTTGCTCCAGAATGGGATCCCACCCAAGGGCCACAGTCCTTCAGGATAAACCTGAGGCCAAAGGGGCTGAGGTTTCTTCAGGAAATAGCCACATGCCCCAGTGCAAATCCTGTGGGGAGCGTGTGGATCCCTGCTCCGGCCTAGCTCCCTCCAAGGGCTGCAGGGGAGTCCATGCTTCACTGGAGCCCTGGCCAGGGCACCAGGGGAATCTCTCCTCTGATGTCTGCAGTACTTTCTCTCCTCCTCCTCCTCTCACCTTGCTGCTCACAGGGCTGTTCCCAACTCCACTGTGCAGCTTTTGTCACTCCTCAGCCCAGCCAGTGCAGCTCCACTGCTCCCAGGCCCAGAGACCCGGGCCAAAGACACCCATTTATTTACCTGCACCATGAGTGACCCTTGCGGCTGCCCAGGGGACACAGGCAATGCTTCTACTTCGGAGCACTGCAGAAAGAAAAGCAAAAACCAGAAGTCTCTGTACACAAGGCCATCTCTCAGAAGCCATCCAACTGCATCCAGAGGTGGGTGAGGCTCCAGCAGTCTGCCAGTCAGGAACAGAGAACTCAGGGGCCTATACAGGCCTTTGGGGACTCACTTTAGAGCAAAAACCTTAGGAGGGGCGGCTGAGGCAAGATGGTTTCTCTAGCTTTGAAAAAACACTGGGGAGACATTACTGCTCTCTGTAAGCACCTGAAAGGAGGTTGTAGAGAGCTGGGGGTCACTCTTCTCCCCCAGGTAATAAACAGCAGGACAAGAGCCAGTGGCCTCACTCAGTGCCACAGGCAGTTTACACTGGCTATTAAGAACAATTTTCTTCACTGAAAGCATTGTGAAGCACTATAACAGGCCATCCAGGGAAGCAGATGGATCACCATCCATGGAGCAGATATGGCATTTAGGGACATGCTTTATTATTGGCACTTTTAGGTTAATTGTTGATTATCTTCATGCTTCTATTAAGTGCATCTAGACTGCAACTTAAGCCACATGGCTGTCTGCAAATCAGCTCCAGAAAATGCCAGCACATAACTTTCCTTTCCTTAGTATTTAACTGCTATATATACTGCAAGAATTTTACAGCCCTAGTATAAAAATTCAAGACACAAGTGAAAATTTCTAACAGTATTTGGTCCTTTCTAAAAAGAAGAGTCTTGGCATGTTCCTCTATATGTTCTGTCAGTCCTCATTGTGATTTTAAACAATAAGATGTCAAAAATTTGTTTCCTGAAAAAAATCTGTCATCCTTCCACCCCAATTAACTAACCAGTGGTTATAAAACATAATTGAAAACACCTAAGTGTTACAAGACATGCCAATCACTAGGAAGTAATTTATTTCACAGAATGTCCAGTGAGGAGCTTAAAAGCAGAATCAGGACAAAGCATGGCATAAAATAATTTTAAATATCCAAGCCATCAGGTTTGATAATTAAGTTAAACGGGGAAGTGTTAGATAACACTAGCAACTACCCAAACAACAAAAGGCTTCACAGAGCTGTACACACTCATCTTAGTTATTCCCATCTACTAAAACCAGTGTTTTATTCCATTGGTGCATTTCTGTGCCTATACAAAGAACAGTTGCATTAAGATGTTTCCACTATACATCAATAAAATACTTTTGTATTTGGGTGCTGCACAGGCAATATGGCACATTGTGTTGTGCATTCATCACTGATGAGAATTTCCTCTCAAGTAACACACAAAGTTATCATGGCATGTTGAAGTCAGATGGCTGTAGCAGTGCTTTTTGGTTATTATCATACATGTGCCAGTTCTGATCAGCATTTCCAGCTGCATGAACTGAAGACAGCAGAGACACCACTAGTATCTTCTGCCTTCCTCCCTTCCATGCTCAGTGACAATCCATGACCGTTAAATCCCACAGCTGCCCTGCCTTTAGACTTCATGAAGTTTGCAATTATTTGCTTCAGTAATCAGTCTACCCTTAAACACTCCTTAATCTGAAGTTTCCTTTTAGTCTTCATTTAATTTCCAGCAGTTAAGCTCTTTTCCTCCGAAAATACTTAAAAGACATCTTGCATTCATTACTCAGAAAAAAAACCAACAACAAAAAAACCCCCAAATGTTTCCAATTTCTCTTCCATCTCCATCCAATACCATCAGAGGACAGGCTGGGCAGTGTGACTGGCACTTTTTTGCATGTCCAGATGTGTTCCCCAAATCCCCACACCACATCTGTTGTGCTGTCCTGTTTGTTGGTTCCTCTTCCTGGCTCATTTCCTCAGTTCCTTTTCAACTTAATGCCTCTTGCCCCTGCATCCTTTCTGCTCTTGACACTGCACAGGAATACTTCTCATCATACTTCCAATTATGAAATCAATTTTACATTTTACTTTTCCTTCTTTACATCTTCTCCACTTCTACCTCTGAAGCTCAAGTTCACTGCAATGTATGACCACAGTATGAACTTCTTGATATCCTCCCAGTTCCCATTCCACATCCCTCATTCCTAGCTTCCTACAACATTCCACATTTCAAAAAGGCACTTCTGAGCTGCTCAGTGCTATTATTAATCACTGCAGCAGTTGCTTACTTTGCTACTTCTCTCCCTTGCTCCCTCGGCATCTCTAATGACTCCAACCACTCTTCTCTCTGTGGGCAAGGTTTGTCAGCTCTCTCCTATTACCCACAGGCAACATCATCTGCAGCCTCCTATTCCTCAATTAAAATAAGAAATTGAGTTCTCTTCCTCTCAGCCATCCCCTCACCTTGTTCCCTCCAGCAAGCTGTCAACACCTCAGACTCTCAAACAGCAAAAATAAAAACCCAAGATACCTATCTTCCCTACTGTGCATGCAGGCACTCCAAAATTACTCCTTATTCTACCCTCAGTCTATGTGTAAGATTTTCTTCCCCTCAAAGTTAACCTTACCCCTTTCTTTTTCCCTACTAGCAAGCTTTCTGCTATCACTGTACTTAATGCAGATGCAAATATTTCTCCTTTCCAGTTGGCTGGAATTCATGTAAATCTCTCTATAGTTTATGGGAGTAATGTCTTTCTTTTGTTTATGACATTATTCTGGGGTGTGATTTGGTAAGGCTAATAACTTCTTTGATGTACCCATCCTGTTTGTGCCCTTCTCCCTGTTTCCTAAACTTCTGTGCCAGTTTCCATCATTCTCAATGTCACACTGACTTCTCCGAAGCCTGTCTTTTCTCTGTGCCACACAATGAGTCACTGTCCCCCACAGCCAACTTACTGCTTTAGCAGAAAAATTCTCTTCCACTTAGAGACCTTCAAAGAATTCACATCTAAAATGCTGTACAGAAAATTAACTTTCTAGGCTAATATCACTGAAGCATAAAGTGATTCCCCCTATTACAAATATCAGTGTGCCGTTAGAGTCTCTTACCTGAACATTTATTATATGGAAAATAACAATTTATTAATCTGAGACAGAAAAGATACTCAATAAAAAGACCAGGAAATCCCTTTATGCAACAAGGAAAAAGGAGGTACAATGGTATGCATCATACCCATCAATTCTGTTATTTGAACACTGAATCCACAGTGGATTTAACAATTCAAACACACAAGTAATGACAGCGTACCTTTATTGTAACACGTGCACTGCACTGATGCAGTAGATACAATGCCAGCAGTCTTCTCCTTGCACAAACGACTATCAATCAGGAACTTCTAGGTGGAAGCAGCATTTAGTGCAAAGAATAATTAAGAAACCTCTAATGTTAACCATGTCTTGGGAACTGTTTGCATACATAGTGCAGCACTCACAGCCATTTCCCAAATGCCCTTAAACATGGAAAACTGATCAGCTATAGCAGTTTGCATTTGAAAATTCTAACACAGAGACTTGTTTTTCTTTTTTAAAAAAAAAATCTATACTACAGCAACAAATAAATAAAGGCTAACAATGTGTATATATATTTGCTCAGAATCAATTCAGCAACTTAAAAAAATATAATGTTCAGTGTTTGCTGAATTGCTTTATACTGCATCTATCACTGTGAAACACTACATTAAAAAAGTTAAAGAAAAAAAATTCTTCCAATTCTCTTCATACCCTATTAGCTGAAAAGTTTGCAAGCACTGCTGTCTCTCAGCTATTAATATGCAATTCAGGTCCCCTGGTCATTCTGGGAATCTTTCCAGAACATCCCTGCACACCCAGCAGCTCCCTGTGCAGCGACACCAAAGGGAAGCACAAGCCCTGGTACAAGAGCAGATTAAGTCACCTTCTAGCTCACAAAATTCCTTGCTAAAAACCCAACCACCCCCACCTGTTGTGACTGATTTATACATCTGCTAAGCTCACCCAGGAACACAGATGCTCTTGAGCTCTGTCCCTGTGGGCTTTGTTTCATCTACATGAGTAATCACACTAAGAACCAATGGAAATACTCATGCTTGCAAAGTTATGGACACACCTGCTTACAGGGTATCTTCATTCATCTGCAGCTAGACAAACTGATTGCAGTCCTGGATCATAAATGAAGAGTCTATTAGACTACAGGTAATAATATCAAAGTATTTTCTGGGATGCCTACAACAGACCTAGAACACAGGGAAATACAGGAAACTTTATTCTGTTTAGAGGGAAGCTCTGTTCTTTGGGAGTATTCAGTGATTCACAAGCTGTAGGCCATGGAAGAACTGCACCCTGTGTATATTAGAGAATTAACTGACATAATTTAAATTAGTAAGACTGAAAAATGCTTCTATTGGCTATCCAAACTGGAAACATTTAGACCAATTATAGGCCAAAGACAAAGCAAATTTTGGCACATTGAGTATCACTCTGGAATTCTGCATAGGCTACTCAGAGTCTATGAAGAGTTTATATATGTGGCATGCAATAAAATTTTTCTTTATGAATGGTTTAGAAACATAAAGGACAGCTTTTGTATGGTTTGTTTTCATTAACAGTATATTGGTGGGGCAAATCCACTCTCTCCAATAAAACTAAGAAAATGTTGATATGGGTGTTGAACGAAACATCATTGCTCTGGATTAGAGTGTTTACGGAAATAGTGCAATTCTTATTCTACCTTGGAAAAGTAAAAAATGCACATATTGGTCATATCCTTCCACCTCCTTTCAAGTGGGATTTTTAAGCACAAATATTTTAGTTGCTAGATAGCAAACTCTTACAAAAATATAACTTCTAACAGCATAAGAAAATGCTGAAGAAAAATGCCTTTTCTTCCAAAACAGAACTACAAGGCACCCCAGCTTCTACTGATTTTTACACTGCAAGTGAATCTAACTGAGCAAGAGCCTCAGACAATATGGGCCATCTGCAGCAATACAACCATCACTGACCCTACTGAAGCACACACACTCTTCAAAACATCCAGTACAGGTGCACATAAGACAGATCATATCACACCCACATTTCTTCATCCTCTAAGCCAAATTTTACTTCAAAAATCTAGTGCTTCCCATAAGGCTGGGGACAGGATACGCCCACATGAACCGCAATACACTCAGTTTCTTGCACCATGGTGGAATGAAAACCCAGACTTGATCTTTATGCTTCAGTACAAAGCTACTGTGAAATCCATATCAGAATCCAAATAATCAATATGGCAGCAACTAAAAAAAATCCAGGAGGTGAAGACCAACGATTCTTTTGCAGCACAGATTACAGCAATGATGAATTGCTAGGGTAAATAAAAATTTAAGACTGGCTTTCTTCCTTTTGCAACAAAGGACTTGGGGTATTCTCCCACAAGATTTTTCTTCTTTTTTAGTTATGCCCTTCTCTATATGGAAGCACTGCAGTGTTCATTTAAAAGAACCAAAACCACACAAAACCCTCTCCCATTTTTAAAAAGCACCATAAATGAAAAATCTGTTGGAAAAACAAACAACAAAAACTCCATGGACCACCCTTCAGGGATGAAATGCTAAAGATGTCTTTTTTAATCAACCAGTTTGTGAAGATCTACAAAAAAATAAAAAGGATCACATTCTAAAGGTTCAGTGCAGACAGCAGCTATATAGTTTTGCTGCTTATTCATCTAAGTTGACTTTCAAAAATAACACCCTAGCTCGTCAAAATATACATTTTCCATTTGCTTTTAAATTAAAATAATAATAAAAAACATTTAAAGAATTCACAATCAATAGCATGACTAAGTTTCAGGATCATCTACAGCATATAATTTAAAGGTTCAAGATGCCAATATGCAACATGTGGCAGGCCTATATGCTCCATGCAGCATGTACATTTAGGATCATCTCAAATAATCTTGATGTTCAGATGTTAGTCTGTTTCTTCCAAATCGTGTAGAATACCCATCTGGAGAAAATAAGCAGTTAAGGAAAAAAGGCAACACTTGTACACAGTTAAAATTCAGTTATTTTTACTTATATTTAAATTCTGAAAACTTCTGGTAGCTCAAAAAGGGTAGGGAAAACGCTCAAAAGTGACATCTACCTGGATTCTCTTCTTGACTCAGCAGATCAAAGATGCCTACCCTTCAAAACACATACACGTTCCATTAAGGCCTGGCACTTGTAAAGGCAAAAATAATCACTTTCTCTGAAACTAAGCTTTAAGGGCAAGTATTTTGATATCCTTCACATTCTCTTGACTTGAAAATATAAGGTCAAATCTGCATTTCCCAAAGAGCTGACAATAATGAGAAGCAGGAGGAGCTGGCTGGGGTCAGTCTGGGGGCTGCAGCAGTGAGCACTACCGGGCTTAGGGACACAGGAGGGAGGGGAATGAACACACACAACACAAGAAAGGCTGTGGCAGTATCCTGTGCTTAATGTATTATGAATAAGAAGATTGTGGAAAGATGTTTCCTGTCAAGAGAGACAGCCGCAGCAGGCTTCACTCTGCAGAAACATTTCCAGGGAGATCCCACAAAAGCAGCAAACACTCAAGGCAAATGCAGATGGCAGAACCACCTTACAGCAGATCAGAATGCCCCCTCACACTAAGGGCTTGAAGTTTAAACTTCTAGGCTCCTTACATAACTTCCTTACCACCCACAAATTGAAGAAATTCTGAAGGATTATTTTTAGGAATGGGAGGTTGCTGAGAATATGCATAACCCTCTACTTGGAATATTTTTTCCAGTAACACTAACTAGTAATTATTGATGGGAATCACTCTTCCCCATTCCCCAGCCTTAAAAGTGAAGTCTGAACTGTATGCTCAAGAATAGGGCTATCAGATAATATCTAAAGATCTGGATCATGCTAATCTGTATGAAGTTAGTTTCTTATTTTAGTAAAAGAAAAAAAAGAAAATAAGAAGATACAGCCTTGTCAGAACTGCCAGGCAGTATTACCTTTATCACACAGTTTATCCTATATCACATACACCACTCAAAAACATTAACAAAAATACAGCTTATTCATGAAAGGTGCTCATCATTTTACCAGCTGTGAATTTATAGCACTTTTAGAAAATAATTCCTACAATTATCCTCAAAATAAAACTGCAACAGTTCATTTACTATGAAAAAAAAAACATTAAGTATTTAAATCAGAACTGCCTTTTTGCTTGAGTTCATTACCTCCAAACAATCTATGCTTGCTTGATTTATTAATACACACTCTCCAGTCTTCAGTCTTTAAGGATACAATTCCATGTAGGAGGGAACACACACAGTTTCTTTTGAAAACTCCACAGGACAATAAAGCCTGCTAAGCTGTTCTTCATACAGAGTCAAGGCATCAGTCAGATTGATACAGTTTCCCTAAAGAAAAAAAAAATCCCAGTCACAATCAAGCAAATAAGCAGAATTTCAGATGAACATATACATTTTGACATTACTGCAAGGCTCCCACATATGTCAGAACCAGATACATGCTGTTCTTAATATTTAATATTTACAGTGCAAACACTGAACAGCTTGTCTTCATTCTGCCTACAGCAAACAACAATTTGTATCCTTTCAAGAAAGGGTAAGTATGGGGGGGATTATCTATATTCTCATTAGAAGCGATCATTGTATGAGGGCTTCCAGTTAAAACAGACCACCATGTGTTGTTTACCTATAACATCTACTCCATAACCATTTTCTTTATAATTGCTTAAACTTATTAGTAAACAGTATTACAACATCCAGATTTTTCTCAGTTATTTAACGTTGCCTAGATCTTACAGTGTTTAAATGAACTTTTTAAAAAACTATAGCCTATTAATTTTAAACAGATTCTTCCACAAAGCAATATGACAAAATACATCAAATTATATAGAAGTTCTCTGGCTGCAGGCTACATTGTCTTGAGTTTCCACATATCATGCTTCTGAAAAATAAGA